CAAATAGGCGGTAATATTTTTGTTTTCTTAACTGTCACATCAGATATGGTCTGTAAATCTTACCCAGCCTACAGAGATTTGAAGAGAGTCCCAATGGAATGGAAACCTGAGGAATGTTCTTTTAGATTGCATATGAAATCATTATCACCCTGGGTTGGGTCTAGAACAAAATCGCTAATGGTGCATCTGAAATTAGCCAGGGGGCTCGATCCCTGCAACCATGTCACAGTCATAGATGATTGACCCCCACCTGAGGGTGCTTATATTCATGAGCGTGCTATGCACCGTTAGGCACTCTTGTAATCCTGGGTCTGTATACTCCCCTTAATCTAGGAGCACACTCACATAAATGTAAAGTTGTAATGGAAGTTTTCAGGAAAGTGCTTTGTAGAGGTGTATGATTAAGTATCGTCATGTCACCTTGTAATGATAGCAGAATATGGATATTGTTGACACTAACTGCTTTTACAGATCTGAATTTAATTCAGTTTTGGAATGTTTTAACTTGAAACTTGACTTTCCAACTCATACTCAGGATCTTACTCTCGACCTTTCTGGTACAATCTGTGGTATATCTGACCATAAACTCTTTGCACGTAATTTTGGCATTTCCACTCCTCCTCTTCTGGAGAAAATCACAGTCTGTTATCGTACTTTTAAGTCTATCTGTTCAGATTTGTTTGCTGCTTCCCTTTAGTTCTCACCCCTTTCTGACTGGCATGATTTTTCCTACCCCAATTCAATGGTTTCCCTATTTAATGACACTATCTCTACATTACTTAATGATCTAGCACCTTTATATAACAGGTTGGTCCCAGTCACTTGCATTAGCCTGTGATTCACCCCTGAACTAATGAAGTAATGAAAGCCACAGGCCAGCCTTTTCAGTGCCTATTCAAGAAAATTGGCCTTACAATTCACTCCTTACTCTACACATAGCATATCCACAAGTTTAGGGATGCCCTGAATGCTGCTCGGACCAATTACTTCTCCTCCATAATAAATAGTTCTAAGTCTAGGCCAAAAACACTCTTTAGGACTGTAAACAAACGCCTTCACCCTCCTGCATTAGTATGTCCCCTTAGAGCTGAGTAGTGCCAGGCTTTCTTTGAAAACAGAATCAATGACATTTTCCAGCCATTTTCCATCATTTATTAATCCAGTTTTATCTACAGATTCACCCAGTTTGATTACAATGCTAACTAGTTTCTCACCTGTCGACCCACTTTCTGCCACTTTCTGTGCTCATTACAAAGTCTGTGGATTATTCTGAGTAACCGGACCATGATTTCTGCTAAGAGACAATGCTGTTTAATTTTTCAAATGTATCTTTTTTTTTGCACTTTAATCAACATAGAAAAAATGTCATTCACTCCCATTATATTCGAGAGAAGCCCAACATTCCTGTGGCCGATTTCTCCAAAACGAGGCAATTCCCAGAAAAATAACCTAGATGGATAGATGGCACAAAAGCCCCTCTAAAGCATATCTTTTTCAGTTTTGGAGTGAACTGCCCCTTTACAGCTTGTTAGTCTATTATTACTAATCCAATTGCCACACTTATAAACAAAAATCCTTCCTCCTGCTCCATCCCTACTGCCCCCAAAGCAGCAGCAGTAACCCCTTCCCCCAAAAGTCCTTATCTGGATCCGACACGTCTTTCTAACAACAGCCTAACTCAACTCTTCCATTCATAGAAAGAATCATGGAAATGGTGGTAGCTACTTAACTGTATGACTTACTTCAGGAAAATGCACTCTATGAGCCTTTTCAGTCTGGCTTCTGTAAGGAGCTTAGCTCTGAGGCAGGTCCACTGTGTGTGGTCAATGATCTCAGGTCTGCTGATGATGTCACTATAATAATAATAATAATAATAAGAAGAAGAATAAGAAGAAGAAGAACTTTTATTCGTATAGCACCTTTTATAAATACATGTAGCCCAAAGCGCTTTACAGAAATAATTAAATCAGAGATTGCAGAGATAAAAAGACAAAAGAAATAAAATGAAATAAGAGGAATAACTAGAACAAAAAGTAAATTCATTATAGAGAGAATAAAAAAGAAATGGTACAAAAATAAAATGTAGCCATAACAGATAATAAGATTAAACAAAATGAAAACAAAAGACGCACAGCAGGATTCAGCAAATACATGTGTAACAATGTGCAGTAGATAAGAAGTCCAGTACAATAAATGAATGTATAACAACTTGCAGCAGATAAAAGGGGAATAAGATTGTACATGGTAGTGAAAAGCAAAGCAGACACACAAGAACTCATGAACTAATAAAATGTAAGTTTTAAAGCTGAAGTAAGAGATGTGTTTTAATAAACTTTTAAAGACAGTAATCGACTCAGCTTCTCTGGTAGTTTTGGTGGTGTGTTCCATAATTTTGGGGTATAGCAGCTGAAGGCTGCCTCACCGCTGTACTCATGTTTAACTCTTGGTATGCATAGGAGTCTATTAGCATTCTCCTCCTCTTAGAGCTGAGTGCACCATTTGACACTATAAATCATAAGGTCCTCATTTCATGCCCGTCCTCCATTGGTATTGCTGCTCTAGTCCCTCACCAAAACTGCATTTTGCCACCTCTGCTATATCGCTCACCTTCAGCCTTTTCTCCCTTGTAACGATGCACAAGCTCTAGTCTACGCTTCATCATGTCCTCGACTGACTGTGGTAATTCCCTTTTCATTGGCCTTCCTGATGAATCTTTGCTATAGCTTCAGTCAGGGTCAGCGCCCGTCTGGTCCTGCCCTTCGTGTCTCTTCCCCATTTGGCCAGCAGGTGCTGCTGGCCTTCCTGTCTTGTCATTCCTTGTCTGATAATCCTTGTGTGCTTCCCCTGCCCCCTGGGCTGCTGCTTAGCACACTGTGTTGAGTGTGTGGCTGAGACTGATTCCCCCAAGTCATGGGTCAGTGACCAACCTCACCAGCAATTTGTATTTGTTAGTTTTCTATTCCTCAGTGCTTATTTTGTGTGTTAATTCCTGGGCTTGGTTCATCCTCCCTCTGTTTTAGATTTGTTTTTTACCTTTGATTTTGTAATTAGTTTGGCTTTGTATTCCCAGTGACAGAGTTTGTCTAAGCCTCCTGGTTCTGTGTTCATCTTGGTTATGTAGTTCCACCTGTTTCTCCTTCCTGTGTCTCCCCTGATTGGTTATTTGATTATTGAGTTACACCTGTTCCGTGATCACCCTGATTCCCTGTGTGTATTTAAGTGTCCACTCATGTTCTCCAGTCAGTCATTGTATTCATGTTGCTGTGTGTTCAGTATGCTGCTTGTTTTATAATCCTGCTCCCTGTGTTGCCCTGTTCCCTTGTTATGTTACTTTAGGATTCTCGTAGTTAGTTCTTGTTTGCCTGTTTGCATTTTGTCCCCTCATGGTCCTGTTATTTCATGGTTTACCCCTTGGCGTTCTGTTTTAATGAACCCCTTTGTTTTGGAGCCGTAAGTGGATTGTCAATCTCATCTCCTGCCTGTACCATGCCCTGCTGCCATAGCAGCTTCAGTTTATTCAGAACTCTACTGCAAGAATCCTCACCCATAACAGGGGTTCTTTTCATATCACTCCCATTCTCTTACAGTTATACTGCTCACCATTTCTGTCCCATATCAAATTCAAAATCCTGTTACTCAGCTTCAAAACACCACATGGCCTTGCACCCTCTTACCTTCAGTGAACTCCTCACCCCTTGAACTCTTCCCCTCTCTCCCTCCAGTCATCTAGCAGTAATCCATGATTGTTCTTTATGTTCTACTTTTAAATCTGACTTAAAGACTTTCCTGGTTAATGAACATTTCTCTTCCTAAATCGCTTAGATGTCTGTGTGTTTGTTTCCCTCCTTGTAGAGTGACCTTGCATTTGTGAAAGGGGCAGCATGTGGCTCAGAGGGCTAAGTGCATGTGTCTGTAATTGCGAGGTTGCCAGTTCAAACCCAGCCTCAGCACATCTGTGGCTCCTTGAGCAAGGCCCTTAACCCCTGCACCCCCAAGAGGTGGCTGTCCTTCTCAGACAGCTTACTCTACAAAGAGCAAGTTGAGGGAGGTATAAAGATGAATTTCCCCATGAGGGCAATAAAGGACCAATAGTTACTATATAAATGTTACTTGTCATTACTGTATTTATGCACCTCTTCATTTTAAATATACCAGCTACATTTTGTAATTTGTGACAATGTGCAAAAATGTGATAAATTGCAGTAATGAGACAGAAAGATGAATTTCACAGCTCAGGTGATATTGGTGACTATCACAGTAACCACACTGCAAAACAAAGTTATGGATCTTTAATCAAGCAGGGAGCCCAGGAATGATATTGATTCAAACAAAACATTTTTTTTTACCAAATAACAAGAAATGTGTCCTCGTGTATCCTCTGCAGGAATAGGAGTAATATTGTTGGAAAAAAGAGAACATGAAATCCAGTTCATGTCTTCTCAATCCCAATCGCTGTCTTCTCATCATGGGGCCAAAAATCAATCTGAAAAGTTCTAAAGTTTATTGTCTTCCGTATTGTTCATTGCTCTGTCGGGACAAAGCAATCCCTCTTTAAGTGTACATGATGTTTTATGTTTTTAATTCAAATCCAAAATCATACTTCATATCATGTTCCCCGCATTTCTCATGATGATTTTGTTCATGTATTACAGCAGCCAGAAATAAACCGATGTGGTATCTGGCAACCTTAGGCAGGTTGCTCCTTGGTCCCCCTGTTTAGTAGACTGGGTTGAGGAGGGAGGTTCAAACCAATAATTTTTCTTGGCCTACCTGTCTACATGCCTGCATTACAGTAATTAACACAATAATAGATTGTTTTAAAATTCATTTAGTATCATTAAGCTGCTGTTTAGAGAAATTGTAATATTAGAGATCCAGGCAGCAGATATTTTTTAACATCAGGTTTAAGGTTTTGTGATAAAGCCACAGGCGTGATGGAATGAGCCGCCAGACCCCCTCCCTTTGGAAAAAGATCCGCGCCTGGGACTTGATGATGGTCCGACGAATGCACTTAATTCTGAATGGAGTTGGGGGTGTAGATCGGCTGTGCTTGTCAGAGACGTGCTGGAAATAGGTGTTTTACTTTACATGAGTACAGTAGGTGCCTCGTTTAGGGGATCAGGTTAGATCATCTAGTGTTGTCGAAAGTTACTGCGATCGGAACAAGTTTAGCGCTACGGAATAAAAGCCGACCTTAGAAGAAGCATATAGGCAACGAATAATTACACAAAGGAAATGGACGCTTCATTTTGTATTGTATTTGCTTTTATCCTTAACATATTACCATGCCATGTAAGTATTTATTTTTTATTCTACGTTTGGTAGTAATCAAATAGGCCTATTTTATCCGAATCGAAAATCAGTAGTGATTATTTGAGCCACGTTCATACGTGATTAATGCTAAAAGATTAATCTGAAAAGGTCAAAGTGGTGCAAAACTATGTAAAAGGTAATATAAACTAGTCAACGTAATTCGTAACATGCAGCAGTGGTAATACGTACTATATGCATTACAAATACATGGTCGAAACAAAATTTACATATGAACTGAATTTCGTCGACAGTGTTCCTATGCTAAAAGACTGTCTGCGTTGTAAAAAAAAAAAAAAAAAAGCACCGTCACCTTTTCTAATTTTCAGAAATTACAGAATAAAGTCGATCAGTAAGTTACCCAAGCCGTACTGATTAGGTTATTAAAGCTCATGTATGTGTGTGTGTGATTGTGAGAGAGGGCGATGTAAGGTGTGTTAGGCAGAATAGCTCGATCCGCAGAAGGACAGGGATCAATAATATTTGAGGCGTCAGTTTTGTCAGCTCTGGTTTGAATTACACACACTGAGAATTGAAGTGTTGCATTGTACTTTTTAGATTTGCCCCTTACTCCATCATACGGCTGTTTGGAAACTCGTATACAGTATATCCCCGTCGACGATTTCTGTCTTTTAGAATTTCTGTTAATTCTATTAGTAAAAAAAACTTTTGTCTTGTCTCAACTTTTATGCTTGTTTTTAAAAACCGCGATTACTTATTTCTTTTCCATCGACTGTTCTCCTTGTTACGTGCATTCAGGAATAGCAAAGCACACTTTAATATTGCTTGCGGATTTCCATTTGTATTAGCCTATTAGGCTGCACTACACTATTAGTTTGGAAAATAGCAGGGGACTCGTATTAAAAGGTTTTCCTACGATTAATTGTCATGTCGATTTGAAAGTGATGAAAGAGCTTATGCTTCAATTAATAAGCTATTTAACTGTTTATCGTCGGCAGCCGGATCAATTTGGTGTTTGATCAGTCAGCCGTTTTTAAGATATGAAGCAGGACGTGTTAATAATCATTATTATTTTAGTAAACGAAAACCACTACACAGAATAGGCTACCACGAAGCTTTCTGGTCACACATTTGTGTTTTTAAGGGACAGTTGATTTTCTGACAAAATTACCATTTCAAAATGATACTGAATTCAAAACATGGACCTTTTAATATGAAAGTGGCATGGATAAACAGTTTTTTATATGGGGGTTTTCATTACGCGAGAGAGGTTTTCCGGTTTATCTTTGAGATTAAGCAGAGACTTTAAGATAGTTGCGTGGAATTTACTTAGGACTTTAACGAGCGTTTCCCGAAAGCTTACTTACGCCTGTATACTTTAATAGCGACTTCAGTGTGGGGATTGTTTTCCCCGTAGCGCGATATCAGAGAGCGCAGGTTTTTTTCTTTTTTTTGTTAAATCGGTAACCCTTTGGTTGAAATTTGGAGACTTTTCTATAACTGCAGTTTTTTTACACATGCGAGGAATGGTTTTGAAAATATAATTGCATTCTGGATAGTAAATGGTTGGCTAACTGCGTTTAAAATGCATTAGATAGGACGGCGCCTCACACCTCCAGGGTGTGGGGTTGAATCCCACCTCCACTGTGTGTGTTTGCATGTTCACACTGTGTCCCACAGATGGGCTGATTGGTGACATTGACCAAGATTTATGGATGGAAGGGAGGAGTTTATACAATTTTGCAGACTACCATAGAGAAAGTTAAGCAAGACAACCTTAAAGACTGGGTCAGACTCAGTGTGCAAACACTGTTGCATTTCCAGGTGCATTAGTGATACAATACTGTTACCTGGAAAGATATGCTTTAAACTTCCCCCCTCAGATTTGGTAAATGTTTGGAAAATGCCCATTCCTTATGTGAAACTAAACTGTCAACAGTCAATGGTATGACAGGCTGAGGATAATGGCTCAGTTTAGAAATGTGAAGTTTGTGGTACATGGCAGTTATGAATCAACAGAATGGCATGTATGGAAAATCCACAGGTGACTGTAGAGAGAATGTGGTCTTTACAGTTTGTTGACCGCTTTACATTCAACCATGTGTTTGTAATGCATTCAGTTAATCTGGATTGCATTCATTTAACACTTTCTTTGCTGTACATTTACTGTAATGTGGCTCTTTTTGTTCCGTAACAAAGCTGGAGAATTTGGCCAAGGGGCAAAAGGTTGCCTGGTTGAAGTAACTTTGTCCTCTGCCCAGGAATTATGCACAGTGGACCGACTGGCCAAAGTACCTTACCTTTAATCGCAGGAAACTTTAAATTGTGAGTGGATTGGAAATTTCTCCTGGTGTCGTCATTGGGCTAAATCCTTTCAGAAGCAGCATGCAAGTCCACTGTAGAGGAATTTGTCAGTAGGACATCACCTGACGGGCAATGGTGTCAATTGAATATAACCTTTAGGATGATCGTTATTTAGGTTTTAACTTTAATTACTGTATGTCTGCTATGATTGAATCTCCAGCCCCCTCATGATATCGCTCTACATTCCCTGGGCTTGGTGGCGACACAGACGATCTCGTTGAAATGGTTCAGGTCTCAGATTCATGCTTGTCGGCCTCCTTAAATAGAGCACCAACAGTGGAAAAGCTGGTTTTGATACGGAAATATATGCTGGAGCTAGAGATAGAGGGTAAAATGTCTTGCATGCCCCTTGGCCGTCATTATACAGATGTAAGGCAGAAACCAATGATTATAAGGGTTCAACTGCTTGAATGCAGAGAAGAGAAAAACTACCACACTCGACTAAAGTCTGAAATATCTCTTCTTGGAAGCCTTTTGATGTATATACAACTCGAAATGCCAACGCTGAAACAGCTGGGCAATCACCAGCTTGATTTGCTATTTTAGAAATTCACTCTGCGTTTCATTCTGGGAAATGTATTGAATTGTACCAGAATCATTTGTATGTTGTGACAAACTTAGGAGGAGTATTTTCAGAACTACTTTTTTTGTCTCTGGTGTATTAAAATGCATTCAAAACTTTTCAATGTAGTTGTCAGCACACATAGGTTGTCATGCAGCATACTTTTTACTATAAATGTCTGTACATCTGAAAAGATTGCTAACCAGTTTTAGGATTTTTGGTTTCGTTGACGTCATTTTATACCAACTCGTCTAGACCTCTGAGCTCATGTCATGAATTTTCTTGGGAAAAAAAATATGCAAAAACTTTCAATACATTCATGGAACCATGCAAAATCCTATAGCTGTCCCCCAAATACTTTTTCTGTCATACATATTCAAAGTTTTGCCATCAGCGTTTTTGTGATTCTTTGTTTGCGTATTCTAAGCCTCACCAGTTGCTTATTTTACTGCATGATTGGGTTGAAACTGGGTTGTACTTAACATCCAAGAAACCCTAAGAATAATTTTCAGAGTGTTCATGTTAATAGATATTTCTGAACGTTTTACGGAAATCAAATTAATAGTTTTCACTATTAATTAGTTTTCACTTGAAATTTTGATTGTGTGTAGCCGCACATTGGGCTGATGCACTCTGATAGTTGAGAGAGCGCGTGTCCCACAGTCAGCCTGTGGACAGCCGTAAAGCCACTTCACCATTTGCCTCTCTTGAACAGTAGTTATAGCTAACCCACTTAACATATTCTGACTGTGTATTTTTTTCAAAAAGGATTATTCTGATTTCCTTGTAACTTTTATGGGAATATTCATTGCCGATTATATACAATTTTAAGATGTTATATTACTCCATCCTTTAACAATTGTCTATAAACTGTATGGATGGATGATTGTTTTATATTGTTATACTGTTTCGTTACTTTGTTTGCAATATGCAGATAAGCATCTGTTAGGTTTTGTTTTTCAGACACGTCAACAGATGCATTGCCTTTGGTTTACAACTGTTCTTGTTTGTATGTTTAATAACAAATTTCAAAACAAATTCTATTTTCCTTGTTGTATCAAAATTGCATCAAACCATGAACTCAAAACTGCAGTTCGTACCTAACCACAAATTTTATGTATGCCCCTAGTACGTAGCCTGTGTTTTAATTTTTTGAAAATCTCTATACTGTAGCCTATATTCAAAACAGTATCACTGTTTGCCAAGTTGATTTATTGGTATATTTTTATGCCAACAGTTTTCCAAATATGATTTATTAAATGCATTATCTTATTATACACAGATCCACTCACAAAGGTTGCATGATACTATGGAGGACAAAACGTGACTTAAAAACAATTGTTCTATAAAAATAAATCCTTGGCATCAGTGAATGAATAAATTATGCAATTTAAGTGGATGTATAAAAAGGCCAGTTCTCTTAGATTTGAAAACTGGTACAACTGATTCACTGAAAAGAACCAGTTCAAACGAAGGATCTGTTCATGAATCAGGCATTAGTATTGTTCACTTAGATCGCTGTTTTTGCATGCAGGTATGGTTTCTTGATATCATGTTGTATTTCACGTAGTGCTTTTCTCTCTGACCGAAAATCATGTAAACACAAATGTGATTAAGTGTTGTATTGGACTTGGGTACTAATATCAATCGTGTTATAATTTGTGGTGTGATATCATGTGTTGTAACACGACTGTTTGTAATCCTAACTTGTGCATTTTACCGTTGTACAAATCAGTTTCAACATGACCAGTAGAAGACCATCCGATATTCAGTTAGATATACTCATAATCGTCATTTTGTTCATTCATTTATGCATTCCTTTTACGTCGCAGATGACAAAACTTACAACACTATTTAACCTACCTATAACTTTAGGCACTTTTGTGCATGAATATTGCACTAGGAATGGCTTGGGTGCCTAATGGTAGTTTTCATCGTCTCTGTAGTATCAAGGTCTGAAACTGCTCAGTCAAGCTCCTCTCCAGGCCAGAGTACGGCTTCAGATTAGCCTGGGTTCGCCACCATCCATCCATCTATTTTCTATAACCACTTAACCAATTCAAGGTCACGGGGGATCCGGAGCCTATGCCAGAAG